CGTTGTGGTGTAAATTCCCATCTCTTTTCAAGAAATGCTTTATTTTTTGGTGCTATTAGAATAAGTCATGGTTGAGCTCAAAATGTAAAAATGCCAGAGCGGAATTTTGATAAATGGCTTAGCTTAGTCTCTTAATTTTAACATTCTTCAGGGTAGTAGAGGAGGGATGGCCATGAAGCCACGTATTTCAGTAAACTGGGGACAACAGGAAGATAATCCCTTACTTCTGCCCAGAAGACCTAAAAGTGAATGAATGCCCTCCCTCCTTTAGGCGCTTAGGGAACTTAGGGTAGTGGAAGTTTCTACCTGTTAGATCTAAGCTCACTGTACATGACCTAGAGGGTTTTTAAAGGGTGGAGATACATGACAATGGGAGCATGCTATATGAAATAACAAGTCTGTGGCTTCCAAAACAATCATGGTGATGAGGGGCTGGCAATCTGCAAGTTTTTATCATTAAAGTACTTTACTGCAGTGGAACAGGAAGGAATGGCACGGCAAAGCTGTTGTCCATGTCATACTTCTGCTCTTAATGTAAAAAGGTGGCCCAGTTCCTCTTCATCTCTCACATTCTGGGAGTCTTCCAATAGCAGAAAAAAATGCTGTTCTTTCTCTGGAAGGAGGAAACAAGGAAAATCCTGCTGCTCTTTTACAAAGGAGGGACAAGGCAGCCGTATCCCATCTTGCTTTAAACTGGAGAGGGAGTTCCCACCAGAGAGGAACTGCAGTAAAGGGCTGAACACAACAGATGGAAAGTAAAAGGTTAGCTCAGCTGTGGAAAGAGTCAATAATGCCCTGTACTTTGGCTTGAGGGAGGTGACAAGGCCTTGCATTTTCTGTAGGAGCCTGCTGGAGCCTCACCGTGCATGGTGTTAAGCCCTTGAACTGCATAAACAATCTGGTGTTTGGCTGAACACAGGTAACTAGGATGTATGAAGCAACAGTAGCTAGTTCAGGACATGAACATTCTTCAATAGCTGTTCTTGGTAAGTTTTCTAGAGGAAGAGTTTTTCTTCTTTCTAAGATGTAGCATATTTGCATTGAGAGCTCCTGGTGGCTGTGGGCTTCAGTGGGAGAAGCACAAAGATGCTCAGTGTTCAGGGATGTCAGTACAGTTCTTTGTCGGCCCTGAAGGTATTTCTCTATTACCTGTCAGTCAAGTGTGGTCTATGAGGAGAGATGAGGAGAGCCTGATTGTCTGCTCTGAGCTTTGCTACAGTGAGCAAAAAGGACCAAACAAATTGTGCTTGATGGATGAGACATACTACAGCTTAGCTTGGAGTGCAGGGTTGGCCTCTCTAAAGCTTTTTACTAGATCTAGTGCTTGCAGAGAACCTGAAGCAAAGAAATAGGATATTTTGATACTGAAGCTGGAGACAGGGTGGCACAGGTTTATTTTTGTTAAGGTACCTTAGGGGCCTAGCTACCCCTGCATAACAAATGGTTGATTTTAATACATCAACCAGTGCCTGCATGCTGCTTGCAGTTCGTTACTGAAGCCAAATTAGCTCTCTTATTACTCTGCTTCCCCTCTTTTTACTCTGCTTTCCCTTTCATTTCATGCTGTTCTTGCAGGCTTCATTAGGAGCACTGGCTGCAAAAGCACTAGTTGGGTTAAAAAAAAAAAAAAAAGGGTTTGTAGGGACATGTTCACATTTGGTTCCTGGAAACAACAGAAAGCAAATGAGTATCTTTTTGTTTTGCTGGCTTTGGCTAAAAAGGAGCAAAGAAAATAAACTCTTCAGTTACATAACTCTGACACAGTTCTTAGCTTGTGTTTCCCACAGCAACTGGACATGATTACTGCAGGATGTTGTTCTTGCAGAGCAGACCCTTCTGGTGTTGAGCATACTGAAGGTTTAAATGCTATTTAGACATTCTAGAATTAGTTTTCTGAAGGGAGTTCATGATTATTGTGGTTTGCCACTTGCAAGTGTTTGAACCCCATATATTTGCTAGCAAGAATATCAATATAGAGCATGTTCCTGCCCAACCCTGATTTGACTGTCAGATGCAAACATCTGGAGTTTGCAGTGGGACAGGATTAGTTACGGTTCTGTTTTCTTCTTTCAACAGGTGCTCAGTTGCAGCATGTTATTAACAGAGCCAATGCAAATACTTCTGGAACTTGTGCTGCATGTAGTGATTGCTGTGCATGCAACAGAAAATGTCCCAAGATAACAAGATAAGCTGCAGAATATGCTCTCAAACTGAAAAGAAAGGCAAGCCAGGAATTGATGACCACACTAGCCAAGCTGGTCTCTTGCTTATTGAAAACAGAACAACTGAGAAAAGCCCACAAGTCAGCGTGAGGTTAGACTCATCATCTGAGGAGAGCAGGAGACCCTTAGCTTTATAAACGTGTTCTGTAGAAAGAAGTGGAAGCACAGTGGGCTGCAAGCATTATCTGCTCCACTTTGTGAGGAAAGAATAAAATGCTCTGTAGAGAAATGCTAAAGCCAGGTGTATCAGGGGAGCTGTCAAGAGAAGGGAAGCTGGCTGTTAATGGAATACAAGGAAAATTTACAGGATTTTGAACATTTACTCAAGGAAGAAACTGTGTTGAGCATTTGCTGGGATTTATCTTGCATCTTAAGTACCCTAGCAACACATATTTCTTGTAGAATATATTCATGCTGCTCCCATGAGGCCAGTTTTCCTGCTATAACATTTTGTCTTCTGTATTGACTAATGGGTAAGGAAGTATAAAGGGAAGGAGATAACCGCAGAAAAATTAAGTGTATTGAGCAACAGCAGCTGCTGAGAGACAGTTTCTCAGAATAGTATTGCTTAGGCCTGAAGTCGTGTGAAGATGAGAGAATTGAATGTGGAGCCCTGCAGAACCCTTAGTGGCACCTCTGTGTAATTCCCTTATCCAAGTCCACTTGAAAGGGGAAGTGCACTGAAAACCAGTGAGCAAACAAAAAAACTTAAAACCTTCAGTCTAGGCTCAAGTTTGCATAGCACTTGTGAAGGGAATCTTCTTCTGTTGGGCTTGCACTGCAGAGCCACTTGAACTCAGTTCCTTTGTGGAGAAAGCCACGCCAGAGATGCTCGTTAAGTGTGCTTAGTGAGCTCAGGCCACTAGCAGGATTGCATAAAGAGGACTAGGCTGCAATGCTACAACTACACTGCATGCTTAGAAGGCTCATGCCACAAGCCAGTGCCTCATTCCTGACAACTGTCAGGAATACTTGTGCTCACACTGCAGCTTACACAGGCAGCCACTGGGGAAAAAATCTTTTTTTTGACTGAACAGTTTGCTCAACTGCAAGTATTCTTTCTCCTCAGTTAGAGCTTTCCCTGTATATGCACCAATGTGAGGGGGAGTGGAAGTGATGGCCCATCACGATGAAGGTTGTAGGGTGCAGTTCCTTCTTAAATAGGTTCCTCTGGCTAAAAGCTTTAGGTGAAGAAACACAAAAGCCAGATACCATTACACCATACTTAGGATAGTGGTAAAGATCTTCCTTGAGTGCAGGAATAGGACTGCTTAGCTTGCTGTGGCAGAACAGTAGCTCTTTAGGGTAATGACAGTTATCACTATCCCTAACCTCTGCACGTGCATAGGGTGCAGGTCCTCCCTTTCTTGCTTCTGTTCAAAACTGTTTCTGCTACTTGATGCTTTCCTGGCCTCCTTCTAGCATGCAGCTAGACCATATGCTTGCAAGGATTTGAGAGAGCACTAGAGAAAGCCAACAAGATGTTAATCAGCATTCAGCTTTTATTAACTAAATGCCTGAGATGTGTACAGCAAGATTTGACAAACCTGCTGACAGAAATTTGGAATTTCTCAGGTAAAGCAGATGCAAACGTGGCATGTAGTTATGCAACAACATGGTGATGTGTGTAAACATTCCCAAGTCAGGTATAGGCTAGCAGCATTGTATACGGGTTCAGAAGAGAGTATCAGTGGTGTCAGTTATAGGAGAAGTGGTAAAGATCCTGTTTGACAGCCATGAGCAAGCCAGGAACTCCTCGTCTACCTCCAAGTCTTGAAGAAAACACCACACTGGGAATAGCATCTTTGGAGGATGGGTGGGGAGAAGGAATGGTTCTAAGCAGAGAGGCATCTTGAAGACTCCAAATTCTGGTGTAGCAATCCTGACCAACTGGAAAGGAAGGATATCAGTGGTCAGCATCACACCAGAAATAATTTCTGTGGCTCTGCAAGATTTTCACCACAGTGGATGAATGTAGTGTATGGGGAGAAAAAACTTGACTGTTTCAACACATCTTACAGGCAAAGAGGAAAAAAATATGTATTTCCTATTAGGCAATAAAAGGTAAGGTAAGAGCGCTTTCCTTACTATTAAGCTCCTGAGCAAAACAAACTGGAGAAAAAGTCAACTTGTTAAAATTATTGAATTATTCTTTTTATTCCATCATTCACTGAAAAATCAAGAATAGATCATGTTTAAAGTTACCTTAAGAAATCTAGCCAAAGTATGAAAGAAAAAAAAGTATTTAGGGATTTTGTTTCTTTTATTGTTATGCTTCCCTTTTTTGGAAAAAAAAAAAAGTCTAGAACTGCAGCTGCATATATTCATAACAAGCCCAAGTGAGAGACAATTTACAGGGAATTCTCCTTACAAGCTTTTGTCCATTGACACGCTTCAGTGTCAAAGAAACCTATATATGGTCTTTAGTCTCTGTATAAAAATACTGCTTCAATTATTATGTTAATTGCTTCTTTGACCTTCATTTTTAAGTATTTTCTTCTCTACTCTTAAACCACACTGGGAAAAGGATAAAGGGACGTTAGGGATAAAGCAGTTGAGAGCACCACAGGAATGATTACAGTAGGTGTGCATCTGTAACATCTTATTTTAGATTTCATACTTGATGATAGTACATCTAAAGGTAAATTTCTACGGAATTTCAAAGAATTACCAGCTTTACAACTTTCAACATCTGTACATAAGAATCACTTCTCTGGGATTAAAAAAAATAAAATCACTGCCATGCACTTATAAGTAGAGGAGAAAAAGTCAACGCACCTGCTGTAAGAAGTCCTTCCTCCTCATTCACATGCAAAGGAAGAATAGCATATTCATTGTGATGACCTTCATACTGTTTCACACACTTTGCTGTTCTCAGATCCCACAGTTTTATCTGCAAGTTAAAGAAATTGTTCCAAAGAGCATGCTAACAGAATAGAGATCACTCAACTGTTGGCAAATAACTGGATCTTAGTGGTGAGGAGTGATGACCCAAGCGGGGAACTACCACCCAGTTTCACGTTACTCTGCAAAGAACCAGCATTCATATTCAGGACTGAGGTAAGCACTCAGTTATTGCCCAGATACTAAAAAGAACAGTATACCCTAAAGATAATAAAACCATACCTTTCCAGCCATATCTGATGCCATAAGGTAGTGTTCTGCCTTGAGAAGGCGAATAGATGTAACTGCTGAGTCATGGAAGAGACGAATTGCTTTCCAGTTCTGGCCCTTTCGGTTGCGTTGACGAACATCAATGCTGAAAATTTCACCTGAACGGCAGCCATTGTACAGCATCGGGGTCTGGAAGAATCCAAAAGAAAGAGGTGTATGTAACACATGAAAGGATGTACAAGTTCTGCAGAAAGCACTTATGTCAAGATTCTGAGTTTTCTGGTGCATTTGTGAAGTCATTAATGCAGGCATTAAGAACTAGAATTTTTAGTACAGCATTTTTCAGCTAACTCATTAGCTCCATTCAAACCTCAGTCATTTACCTCTTGGAAAAGTTCAGCAATGTTAGCAGGAACTTAGTCTAACATAACAGCAGAATAGGAACTGGAATTCTCGTGTTCTAATTTGTCCCCTCCCCCTAAGTCTTTGTTTACAAGTCAGTCAGTTTTATAGCCGTTTTCTTCTCCTTGATGAAGACAATAAACTGAGTGTTAATGAAATCAGGTCATTTGGCAAAAACAAAACAATCCTAAGTGTGTGATTGCTGTGCACTTTCTACTTCCATCGTTTCCTTTTTATCTCTGAATATTTAACAAAAATTATCCTGCTGCCACAGACTGAAATCAGATATTTTTTTCATCGCTATTACACTGTGTGCCAACATAGGACTATATCACCTCTGTTAAGGAACAATAATTGTAGTCATAACCTTCTCTACAACATGACGAGTCCTATCACAGACAGTACAGAAAGACCACTAATATCAGTGCTCTGAAAAAGAAAAAAAAAAAAAAAAAGGTGTATGTTTCTTTGTACCTGGGTGGCAAACTGTTGTGCCAAGACATCGCTGCTGGTTCCAAATGTCTGTCGATGCCCTGTCACTACGTTGGTCACAAGAACTCGTCGTGTCAGGCCTAAGGGAGATGTTATATGTGTTTAGTTATGATTTGAGTAGCAGGTGGGAGATTTATGCAAGAAGTCTTTGCCAGAGATAAAAGTGGTTGCTAGCCTTGCAGATCACCTGTGCTGAAGCAGTTGTCCGCTTGTGGATTCAGGCACCAAGCACAGGACCATGCCGTAGATATCTTGAAGCTGCACAGCATTCCAGGTCGATCTCCTAGAAGAAATTAACAACATATGGAACATCCATAAAATGTAAGGACAGGATAACACAGAAAGTCTCTGTGGACATTACTTTGAACATTATAATTAGAAGCAGAAACAATGTTAATATCCCTACGCTACTCAAGATGTAGCAAACAAAAGTGGAATTTCATGATTGCAAGCTTAGGACTTACACTCTATTTGTCTATATACACATCTGAGAGACTGTTAAAGTCTTCATAGCAGGAAAAAAACAGAGAGGAGAAAAATAACTCTTTCACAAAGTAAGCCATTTTTTGAAGATTTTAGAAGCTATAGTCTAGCTAAAGCCTAACTTTTAAGTTCTATAATAAGTTCTATAAACACTGAAGACAGAAGTATTGAAAAATAACCAACCACAAGAAAAACCAACCAAACCCATGCAGGAAAGAAAAAAAAAAAAAGACAGACTCGTATAATTTTTTCTTTGATTGATTCTACAACTGATTATCCTGGGCTGTCTCTGTTTTTAAAGCAGGTTTAAGTAAGTAACGATACTTAGATTTGATTGTTGCTTTGTGTAGTTCCTGCACAAGGTCTATTAACTTACATGCTCAAAGAGCTCAGTTTTCTATTACTTTATTGCATGTCTACCACGATCTTACAGATATCTGGCAGAACAGGAGACACGTCTAAAACCATGTTTCAGATGGGTTAAGTTCTACTTTGCTCACACTATCTATTTAGAAATGTTCCCTCAAAACAAGAATTCAGGAGATTGCGGTAAGGCAGGACCCTTAGAAATACCTAAAGCAGTCAACAGAAAATACTAGACAGAAGGACTTCAGCACAGCTAGGGGCACCTGACTGGTGCAGGCTTTAAAATATTTTGCAGAGCACACTGGCCTAGTAGCCATCCACCTTTAGTGACTTTTCAAGTTCACACTAACTCTATGCATCATTTCCCCCATCCCTCTTTTTTTTTTTTCCCCGAGGCTCCATAAATAGCATAACATTAAACATTTAAAATGGGTCCATACTCTTCTAGCACAGACACAGATCTAATCTGTATAAACTTAACTGATCATGTCTGAATAGGACACCAGGTTAGACAACTGTACAGTATGTTCTGAAGGTATCAGCACAGCTGCTGCCCCGAAGAACATATAATAATTATGTTCAATAAACATAGGGTTCTCTAAATGAGTCATGCTTACACACAACTAAGAATGATATTTAGTACTGTACAAGGAGCCATGGGGTGAGACTATTACCAGCTTTCCATCTATGATAAATCTACCAAGCACATTTGAGTAGCTACTATGATAAAGTATCCTGCAATGACACTGGATAGTCTATAAGGAAATCTGAGTATTTCTTGTGTGCAGGTTCTGTGTGTTAGTTAAAGGCCAAACTACTCAAATGAATAATCTCAAATGTTTACTTTCAAGTAAGGTGTTCTCCTGCCAAAGTCAAGTACTACATCAGCAGCAGTTAAAAATAAACTAGAGCTTTGAATACTGCTTGTTAATTAATTATCAAGGTAAGTTATTTAATCTGTTTGTTTCTTATTCTGCTCCAAACTTGCTACATTTTTAGGATAATACAACGGTTTCATCAACTACTGAAGTGTGGACGTGATTTGTACTCTTTGCATATCCTGTTATCCAAAATTGGGAAAAAAAACAACCAACACCCCACCTGGATTAGTGCTGCTGAACAATGATGCTGGAAGCAGACTGGCACAGCCTGGAGTTTCTGCAATTCCCATGAGACACAGCGTGCTGGAGTGAGTTAAGGAAAACAAAGATTTCTTCCTAAAATGGAAAAGGCTGCATAGTATTTATAGCTGGGAAGGGTAAGATGCTCTGACACAGCTGTAACTCTCAATACTTTCCCTTTAGTAACATCTTCCAAGAACATTATTGTGCCTTACACTTTACAATTAGGTCTTGACACTTCCTTTCTTTCATAGGAATGAGCTAGAAAGATCTCCAATTTTAGATTTTGTACCTTCACTACCAGAAAGATAAGCTGAGAGAGATACTAAGGCATCTTTCTACAGATAGAAAAAACCTGCAGGACCTACATGGATCATTCTTCTCATCTTTACATGCTATAATACTGCACTGATACAGAACTGTTCTGCATGAGACGGGCTTGAGAAAATGGTACACATATTAAGGATTCAAGAGTCAATTTAGATTTCATTAAATACTTCATAAAATTTATAGCAGGCATAAAATGATTTTGAAAGTTGATTTTCAAATGGTTGGTTAAATCTGTGACGTGACTGGGGGAAAGCACTGAATAAGCTAACTGTCTGCAACTCCTAACCATCTCTAAGCAAGCTGATGAATTCCTGCCACCTTCTGGACCAGTTCTGAATTGTGTGGCTTTTCCCATAAGCCATGACATAGGTGTAAGCTTTTTTTTTCATTTTCTCTTTTACTGCCCACTTTTCATGGCACTTTAATAGCATTTCTGTTGCCTGCCATCTCCCACTTTTAAATCCCTTTTCGTTCCTCTCTTCTGTGACTCTGCATTGTCCATTGCCACTTCCTCTACTATACCATCACCCTTCTTTTTATTTTGAGACAAATCTGCAGAACATGTTCTCAAAGTTGCAGAGCACAATGCCAATGAAGTCCTGCCATTTTCATCTTCCCCCAATCAATACAAGGATGATTTACAACAGAAACCAACCAAACCTGCTTCAGAGTGTTTCACTTCTTAGAAAAGAAAGTTAGTTGCCATAAATCTCTTTTGTTGTTGCCCAATCAATTTTTAACCATTAGACCATTTTTGATTTGGCACTTGCACTATTAATGGACTGGCAAGTCTCCAGGGCAGGCAAAGTAGTCTTTCACCTTTTACTGCATGGGAACAATACTACATACATCTGTAACAGCACCATGCATCTGTCTCACAACATCTAGCAACTTCTAATCTTTAAAATTTCCCTGTTTTCCAGAAAGCAATAGTTTTACAGTTGCTACATAAGAGGTCTTCCTGAAAGCCAACTGCTTTGTGCAGAATAGTCAAAACAGAACAGAAATTTTGCTTTTTTAAAAGGATATAAAACATGAGAGTCTGGATGAGTCAATGATGCCCAGCACACAGAATTCACCTTCAGACACAAGAAGACATGCTATTTTTGTAGACCTCATACTCAATTCATGAATGGGTATTTCCATGCAAAGATGACATGAAACTGCAGTGGGCACACTTCCATAGCCCACGAAATAAGCACAGCAGTGACATACAGCTATTTCATTTTAGCCTTATACTCCTCTTAGATGCACAGGAGAGACGGCAGTATTGAGATGTCCGTCCAGATACAGACTGAGGCATCAAGCACATCCTATTATTTAAAGGATCATCCTTAAAAGACCTGAGCATGAAGAGATTACCAAAGCCTGTTCTAAATATTCTTCATGTTCAGGGATAAATACATTTTTCCAAAATTATTTTTAAAAAAGAAGCATATAAATTTGTGTTTTTCTCAACAAGTTTTGTCAGCTATGGCTACACACAACTCTGAAGCAAGCACTATCTTTGGAAGGTGGTACTTCAGTGTGGTCTTGTGTTCCAATAGTAGCACAGCATTCTGGAGAACTACTGCTGGTACTCAGACTATCAGAGACAAGTTTACTGCAATTTTGTGTTTATCCAAATATCACACTGCTAGATTTTTCCATTCTCTCCTACTAAACCCTTTCCCAGCCCTCATGCTTTTCACCTGTGCCTCCCAAGCAATAAGTGTTTGTGAATGTGACAACTGAAGGAAGCAGGAACAGAACACAGTACTTTGCGGTTTGTGAAGTAGAGGTTGTCATACATCTCCACAGTGAGAGACTCCTTCCCCAAACCACTGAGGTTGATGATACCGTATTTACATCCTCCATGCTCTACGTCGTTCACAGTAAATATCCGCTCACAAGCAACATCTGCCTGTAAAACAGAAGAATTATTGCACTTACTGGAAACTGATTGAAAATGATGGCTCGAGGTGGCTGCATTATGTCTAAAAGGAAGAAAGCAGTCACACCTCTTTTTATGAATGCATAGAAAAAATAACAGTAAGAAAATATTTCATCCTTAGCCAACAATACACAGTCTTTCCGATTATACCAGACACTCGCTCTGGTTAATTATTAAGCACAGACTGGTATCAGTAGAGAACTTAAAGAAAGAAAGAAATCTTATAAAAAGTGAATATGCAATTCCTCTACACTGCACAACTGTGGAAAGGAACATTCTCCTCCTACCTATTGAAAACTACTTAGCTCATATTTTGAGAACTGACACAATGGGGGCAATGCAGATTTGAAAGCAAATTTCACTTATGAGGTTTGATTAAAAGATTTTCAATTTTCACTGAAGACAAGCTCTTTTTAACCTAAAGATGTATCAGTTCTTGTAACATACCACAATTATTTTAAAATTGTTGGTTCCAGCAACTGAGGAATCTGGACTGTGAATTTCTATCTTCCTCCTCTGCATGCAGTTCACTTTTAGTTCATGGACCAGCCTGTAAAAGCAGTTGGCGAGGGAGGAGAGAAAGAACTTGGGTAAGCCTAGGTTAAATGCCAATGAAAAGAATTCTGGATAAGATAGCCAGAACTGCTTCTTAGTCACAGAAGATAAAATGCCTGAAAACTAGCATGCTGCAATTTCATTTATATATCCCACGAAACTGTACAGCACATTCCACATTCATGGTATTTCATCCCATCATTGCGAACTTCCGCACACCTTCAGTAGCAGGAATATATCAAGCCCCTAACTTGCTTTCTGCATGGTTATTGAATCTGAACACAGATTCTAACCCAGAGGAAAATGTCCATGTCAGCCCAGGGCATTGATCCAAATAAATGCTACACTGTCTTCAAACAGAACAATGTAGCAAAAGAGCAAATACTAAAAAAAAAATTGGAAGTTTTAAACCCCTGGCATCTGAGACTGGGAAGCATCTTTCACATTTGAATTCTCATCACTTTAGAAATTTGATTATTAAAAAATACTGCCTTTTTGTCAGTATAAATAATGTTACTCTGTCCTTAGTGGAAGAGTGAGAATTGCAAACAAACAAAACTGACAGCAATGGTTCTACTGCCAGCAGTACTTGATACAGCAAACAGAAGACAATTCAAATAAAATCATTGTACCTGCAATAACTTGTGGAGCTGAGCAAACCTAGCTGCCTTTTCTGTAACAGTACAGACGAGTTCAGTCCAGCCCTTGTTGTTTTCTGGAATAGAATAGGATGAAAATGTACTCAGTTTTTGGCTTGTTTATGATTCAAACATGGCCATGGGTCTTTGATGTTTGGAACATTTGGGTAACTTTTTCCTCTAGCCTATGTATAATTATGTTTCATGTCTACAAAGCACATTCCAGCACCATCTCCCTGGTCTGCTGAAGTACAGATAGCTCTTGTTTTTACTTGATACCATCAACAGTATCACCTTGAGGTGTGAAATCACTTTAACACACTAAGTTTGATTACACAGCAAAACTCTATTACTGCAGGGCTACTATTAACTGCATGTCTTACAGCAGTGTGAAACAACTTTTCCATTCATCCCTTTCTAAGATTTCATGTGAACACCTCATAAATACTAGTGAAAGCAAAGGACAGAGAGCTGTGTAGAGCTATAGAAGAACAAATCTTTTCCTCAGGGTTTAAGCATACAAATGTACAGAAAACCTACAACTGAAATCCCACTTTGCCAATTCAAAGCAAGGATTTGAACCCAATGTCATGACTCAAGTGCAACTGTTAGACAACTTGCTATTCTGCTATTCTGAGAGTTCATCTCTTTACAAGCTTTTTTGTTTGTTTGCTTAGTGACTTGCTTTCCTTTCTTGGTGGAACAACAAAGCAAGAGAATTCAAGAGCTATAAATTCTCAGCAAAAAGAAATTTTTGTTTCTTCACATAGCTTAAGGGATTGTACCATAGGAAAAAACTGAAGTACTTCAGCTCGTCATCTGTCCCAAGATAGAGCACGCTGAAAGCTAATTACAGTCTTTTTCAGAACATACCCTCTTTTGTTGTTCTTCCTCTTCTAGGAGTTTCAGTCTTTTACTCTCCATAGCCTTGTACTGAATGCTCTCTTTGGTGAGTGGGTTGTAGTTATTATGTCCAGACAGTAGGCGAAAATAGCGGTTTTTTTCTGGGTCATAGTAAAATCCTGGCAGTTCTTAGGAAAGTGGCAAAAAAAAGAAAAAAGAAAGAAAAAAATAGAAAAGAAAAATCAGACAGACAACCAAGTGTATTTATTACTCTTTGACATCCTACATCTTCATGGAAATGTCAGTCACACAGCTCAGAGTTCTCACCCCCTGTTGGTGCCATGGTTGCTACGCCCACTGGGAACAGATGGCATCTCCTTAAAGGAAAAAAGTTTCTAGTTTGCAACTGCAGCACTGCTACACAGATACAGAAGGGATGCTACCACTGACCAAAGTGAATTTCACACAGATTTCACGCTTCAGAGAAGCAGAAAGGTTTTGCTGTGTAACAAAAATGACCTTCCTTTATGAATCAATCACAAGGGGATGCTCTAGGTTATGGCTGCTTAAAGCAGTCTCAAACAAGCAAGGCAACTAAGTATCACCCAAACAAATACAAAGCAATTCCCTGCCCAGAACCAACCATTTTTTCTTCACCACCAAGGAGAGACCTTGATATAAGCAAGAGTACAATTAGACAATACACAGGGGCTCCTCCCAAAGAGGAACTGAGGAGAGAGGCAAAATAACAGTATGCTCTCTCAACACAAAGAATTTTACTTCAGAAAAGGTAAACATTAATGTCTTCATGAATTTTTATTTAAACCTTTATCTACTACTACAAACTGTGTTTGAGGTTACTTGCAATTCAGCTCATTGTCATCATCCCTTACAGCTTAGCAACAAACAACCAAGCTGTATTTACCTCAAAAAAAATATATATATAGTGACTGTTATCAGTGAGGTGGGCAAAAGCACACTGCTTTAGTACACGGAATCAGCTCGCATAGCAATACATGTTTTAGATTATACGTACTACTTCCTAACAGGCTCACAAACTCTTGATCAGAAGAGGGTGATATACAAAAAAGATAGCCTTACACTCTGGCTTTGGCTGTTGCTAAGAGCCAGCAGCGTTTCAGGACTCTTCTATTGTGGAGATACTCAAGTTCCCACAGGCTCAGCTTTTCCTGGGGATGTTTAATGAGTTAGAAAGCCAGAATGCAAATGGAGCATCATCTTCAGAGCACTGCTACTGTATCAAATCTCATTCTGACAGCTGACTCCCTAATAGTAAATGAACAGGTCGTTTAACCAGATCTTACATCTTACAGATGACAAATATACTGAAGGCACAGAAATGCATTTGTTTTTTTTCCCCCAAAGTGGAAGATAAATACGTCTTTTAAAAGGCTGGATAATTCAATTTACGTTATATATTTGTTACATACTGTCTTATTTTCTTTGCTTATTAAGTATTTCTATTGAAGATGTATTTTATAACATCTTCAACGTATATACAAAAGAAACGTATATTCTTCCCCAAACATTGATTTTAAGAGAAAGAAATATTTCTTTTCAGTTTATATCAGCTTGGCTAAACACACAAGTTTTCATGTAAAAGATGGATTTGTGGGCCCAAAAATGTATTTTGTTCTGCTTTCCAGATTTTCACTTATTACATCTTTTTCAATCACCTTTTCAGATATTATTCTTCTCTGCAAACTTTCCTGCTTATATTCATCCTCTAACACCATACTATTAGCACTACTCTGTTTTTCATACAGTCAACATACAGATGCCGATTTTTGACCTGTAAATGGCATCTCTTACCTGGTACTGCAGAGTTCTGTGTTGAACTGGAAGAAGAAGGATTTCCACCACAGCTGGGGCCTGGATTCACCGGGCTTTGTGCTTCCTCCTCTTCGGGCCTAAAAAAATAGTACTGCCTTCAAGACAGGCTCACAATTGTCCTACACATCTCTTGCACGAAGCCTCTTTAAAATAGTTTGTTAGCCATATTAACACAGCACTATTTTTCAGGTCTGTGATAAGCACACCATACACCATAACACCATACACTAACCAATGGAAAAGGAACAGCAAAAGTATTCAGCTTAAAAACTTCTCACAAACACTAGAGATAATAGTATCTTATAAGACTTAACTATAGCTAAAACATTAGAGACAGTTACTGATCCTGCACGCCTCTTTTCAGAAAAAGATGAATTCTGGACGTGTTACCATGACCCTTGCTTAAGGAAAAGCCCATCTCGAAAGCACGGTAACTCTTTACAGCTTAAAGTAAACGAGAAAGAAATGAGGGCAGCCCGGCCCGCACTCGCCTGTGGCTGCAATGACTGCCGTTGGCTCTCCGGCGCCGAGGGGGGCGGTGGCAGCGCCTGCGGTAGCCCCACCCTCGCTTCTCTTTGCTTCTCCCCATTTCTGTCCGTAAGCCAAACGCCGGTCCGTACTTCAAAGCCGCGTGCTCGGCAGGGCCGGGCCGCAGCCCGCTCGCTTCCTGCCAGAGGACAGAAGCGCTGACGCGGCCCAGGCGGCGGCGCGCCTCCGAGCGGGCAGGGCAGCGCCGCGGGCCCAGACGGGAGCGCGCTGCGGCCGGCACCGCTCCTGCGAGCAGCGACGCACCGCCCGCTGCGTCCCCGCACGGCCACCGCCGCTAGCCTTGCGCGGCCGCGGCTCCGAGCCCTCCCGCACGACGCGCTCGGGAGAACGGGACGGAACGCGGGGGCCGCCGGCGGCTCACCGCTTCCCGCCCGGGCCCCGCGCCGCTCCGCCGGGCCGCGGCCGGTGGGATCTCCTGGCGGCCGGTGGGATCTCCTGGCGGCCGGCGGGCCGAGGCATCCGCCCGCGGAGCCGCGAGGGCCGGGTCCCGCGAGCCGTGCTGTGAAGCGGGACCGCGGCCAACCGCCCCCCCCCCGCCCCTCACCGACACCGCTCCTCACCGCTCCCACCCGAGCGCTAGAGCTCGGCCCACAGGCGCGCCTGATTGGCCCTCCCGCGTTACCTGTCGTTTGATGGACAGCTCCCGCACCGAATAGCAGAAGATCAGGCCGCCGCGTGGCACGCGCCTCTCGCGCGGAGGGGCGGGGACGAGGGCTGTTGGGCGGGAAAAGCGGATAAAAGCTGCTGGGCGGGCAGGGGTCGCTCTCAGGTGGCGGAGCGGCTTGTTTTGTGCTGCCTCCGGTCCCGAAATGGCTCTCTAGGGACCTCTTAATTCTTAAATATGGTTTTGAGCCCTTTTCTCCTAGTTGGAAAGCGCTTATCTGAGCAGCGTTATCAGAGCTAGGAAAGCACGCAGCGAGTGTGAGGGGCAGAGAGCAGCAGGGTGGGCTCTGAGCACCTCCGCCGCTCAGGGCCGCGGGGCTTGCGGTTGTGGCTGCCGTTGCTTCGCGTTCGCTGTAAGGAAACATCTCTGCTAAAGCTTTTCTTAATGCTGGATTTGCGTAGCGGCCGCCCTCTTCCCCCTGCCGCTGTACGGCGAAACGTTAAAAAGCGTGTGGTGCGAGTGTTCTCCCTCTAGTGGAGGGCCGCTGGTGCTGCAGAACGCGCCTCACGTGAAAAACCGACCGAACTAAAAATAGCCCGAACAACTGGAAAAACAGTGTGCTGGCTGTTCTTCTCCCGAACAAAAATATGTAGATTTTAAAGGCTGAGAGCCCTGGAGCTGTTCGGTACAGGGAAGAAGGCAAGACTGAAAGGGGAGCTTCTCAACGCTTACAGATGCCTCATGGGCAGGTGCAGGGAGATTGAGGCTGGGCTCTTTTTGGTGGTGCCCAGCAACAGGACAAGGAGCAATGGGCACAAACTGCAACGTTCCGTCTGAACGTGAGAAAAAAACTAATTTGTCTTGAGAGTGGCTGAGCATGGGAACGGGCTGCCCTGAGAGGCCGTGCTGTGGTGTCTCCTCTGGAGTCTCTCACCCTCCTGGATGCTTTCCTGTGCGACCTGCTGTAGCAGAAGTTGGAGCGATGGATCTCCAGAGGTCCTTTCCAACCCCCCGGTGTTCTATTTTTGTCACTTTGAAATTTTAAATATGTAAAATCCAATTCTGGGTAAATGAGAGATACAGTTTTATTTCTTCCTCTGAATGTTTAGGCCTTGTGCGAGCTTACTGCGTGTACTTGTCCTGAGGGTAATTTTGAGATGCTCTTTCAATCTGTCCCTTACTCACCTGGTCTCTGTTCTAAGTTAATTGAAGTTTAAGTTCCCAAAATGCATGGTAAGTGGCCAAAGAAAGCATGCTTTTAAGGGTGGGAGCAAGTGGAAAGCTTACGTGCAGCTTGTATAGTTTGTGAGCACTATTTCTTTGCCCTTAAAAGGCAGGTGACCAGCATAGTCTGGTTCTGAGACCAATCTTTTCATTGGTTATGTCTGTTTTTCATAGTGGTGATATTGATTTTCAGCTTTCACAAGATAATTCTGAATAGTTCAGATAATTCTGAACTTCATGCAGTAGCAGGAGTAGAATAGAAGACTGTGTAGATATTTGCATGAGGAACCCTCTCTGTGAGCCAATCTGTTACTAATACTGTGGCTGGTGAAGACTGGATCCAGTATGGTTTACGCGGTGTTCATACTTGATGTAAATTTGGTGCTTGATACACCAGTAAACAAGAGTCTAGGGAATACCATTCTCCCCATTGTTTCCTGGCTGGTAGGTAGTAATTCAGAATGTCAAACATTTTACAAATAGTGTTTGTTATACCTGCTTGTTCTGTTGGCCTGGTTTCAGCTCTTTAATTTCTGATGCCTGTGAGCAATGCTGAAGGTTCTGTGACCAATGTGCTGTTTGTAAGCTGTGAGTTGGACTCCACTGAAGTTAGATTTCCATCAGGGGAGAAATACATTAAATGATCTGTTTTTTCACTTGTACTGCAAGCTTTTTATGGATGCTTGTACACATGAATAGACTGGAAGAGATTTCATAGGTCACTGGGTTGCTCTCTGTGTCTATGTGTGTGTAAATAAAATATATAAAGTAAAATACTCCCTCGATACGTATACATACCACACTTCCATTGATCCTTAGTAATCATTTGTCTGGTCTGTGTTATTAAGACCTCTTTTTCATTACATCATTGCCTAAAAGCTGCTGCTTTTTCCTCTGACTTTCAGGGATATAGACAACAATTTATTTCCTTTATCTCTGCAACCGTATTACATATTTGGAAATTGTTGATGGTGTCTCACTAAAGTCTCTAGATTAAACAGTGGCTGAAAAATGCCAATTCTTTCAGGTATTACAGATGACAACTTCTAGGTCCAATCATTCTTGCTTACTCTTTTGTACCCTTATGGTGGGGAACACAAGTTCCCTTGAACTGTGTTCCTAAAACCTGGGCATACTATTAAGGATTTCCTAGTTCTGAGGGTGTTGTAGGCTGTACTCAGGTATATGAATTGCATTTATGGTGGTCCAACAGTGTTAACTTCCATGAAGCTTAGTAACTGAAAAGGATGGGGAGAATTTCAGTTTGAGAACTGCTGCACGTTCAGTTGTATCCATTTTGGATGGATATAATTGGCTGAGCTTGGGCTGGTTGCCATTGAGTGCTGCTCTTCTTAGGCCAGATCTTGGACTGGACTGCAGAATGCAGTCTGCCCTCAAGTTCTGTCCCTCATTTGCTGTGGCTGTATTTTCTGGGTAGTCTATTAAACACATGCATGTAGGGCTATACTTAGTTTATTTGCTAGTAAAATTTGAAATATAATTGTAAATTCCATTAGAATATTATTAAAAACAACAACAACAACAACAACAAAACACAGCAACAGCCAAAAGAAAACAAGCACACTTTGTTAATCATGCAGGGATTTGTGCTTCAGACGCCGGGTTAGGGTTACTGCAGGTCAGTGTGCTGCCACTCAGCTGAGCTGCAATACCTGCACTTGTGTCCATTTTGGTACACGTGAAAACTGTAATTACTTTATGCAAACTTCGTGCTGAGGATTAAGCTGTATGTTTTATCTTGTACTTCTTGTGCACTAAATCCTGCGCTTTCTGCCAGTTAGAACTTAATTTACACAAAGCAACTCAGTAAGCTTCAGTAACTGGAATATGCACAGGGCCCCATGAACTGGTTGTAAAGTGAAATCAAAAGCAGGAGTGTGTCTAACAGTACAACTTAGCCTTAATTTAATTCCAGTGAAATAAGAGCAGTTATATTAAGATCCTATATAACTTCATATATATGCTTCATACCTTAGGAACTGCAATAGCCCTGCAGTGACACCATGCAGAGCTTTAGATGTTTTTGCTTATAAAAGTTACTGCTTGACTTTTTTTTTGGTTCTCAGAATGTTCTGTTGTCCCACAGGGACGCTCTGCTGTTGGTGCTGAAAATCATTTTTGGGATCTCCTGCATCGGGTCGTGGAGGAAGGAACAAACTGCTGCACCATTCAAGGATTTTAAGGTAATGAATTATTATAGTTTTTATAAGTACCAATAGCTTGCTGCATTTATTTTTAGATTTCAGGCTCCCAAAGCAGTCTTGATGATCTTTGAGGTGCAGCTCCACCAGGGTCTGCTTGGTGGCATATGAATAAGGAAGGAGATCTGATGAGGCCCACCAGAGAGCAGCAGTGCACTTAGGCAAAACTGTTGTCGCTCAGCTCTGAAGGGATTTCGTTAAGATCTCTTTTGTAGCAAGTATCGAATTTCTATAATAATCAATTTAAGAAGCAAAAGTACACCAGGAAGTCCCTTCGCAATGCTGCTTAGGGTGTATTTATTTGCATTTATAATTCTTAAGGTCCAAGGTACTGATACTACTTATTTGATTGAATTCTCTCCGTGTAAGAAAGTGAAATTTTCTCCTGAGGTATCAGCTTTGTCGCCTCTAAAGGTTGTGAAAAAACTTGAAAAATTGGCAAATGAAAGTGGACTTTCACAGTCTGTCATTGAATTAGCTAAGTGTTTATTTCTGTTTTTTTTTTATACAATACTTTGGCTGCTAGTATGGCTAGGAGTACTTCTGTGCCTATGAGTGATTCCTGGTAACTGCCTATCAGCTCTTAGTATTTCATACCTGTATATATGATTATTTTTTAAGTTACCAGGTGATACAAATTCAGACTACGCTCGGAGACTATCTGCAGTGTTCTTCTTTCAGGTATTCTTAGCAGACTTTGATCAGACCTTGCCTTCTCTTTGGTGCTGTTGGAAATGTTCAGATATGTTTTACTGAGTAGAGAATTCTGTTGATTAATTAATTTAGCTTTGTGTTTTTTTTTTTTCACCTGCAGGGTTAAAGGAAATAAAAAGTTGTAATGTTACTTTATGTAAAACTTATAATCAAGTTCTACTTTTGAATTACCTAGGTGCTTGGGAGTGTTTAATTGAAAGACACTTAGGTTCTATTCATACTTTTGATTAATTTTGTGGAGGGACTTCATGAATTTGGCTTAACAAGGTGATTTATTATAGTTATGCAAGCATAAGTAGTTACCAACAATTTATGTTGGCAGAAATTGAACTGTGGTATTATGCTGGCCTACATCATGGGAACTATGTTCCAGGAGATGTTCTCTGGTAAAAGCCCATCTCTGAGATGTCATCTTCACTTGTCATCTTTCTCCTGTGAGAAGCGCAAGCGAATGGGCTGTTTGCTACATCAGCAGCTGCAGATCACTTGCGTGTCTGCTCAGCCCAGAGCTGTGCTGCTGCTCAGAGAAGGTGGGAGGAAAAATACCCAACAGCCTAATACCTGCCCCAATTCTATTTGACCTGTAAAGGAATGGTTTCAGGGAGACTTTGTCATGTGCAAGAATTTACTGCTGTAGCTTCTATGGGTATTAGAACTCAAGAATGCAAGGTAAATGGTATGGTATGCTGTACTTACGTATGAAAGCTGTTTTTGCAGGATGAGCATGGTCTATAATATTATGGAAAAAGTTTTACGGAAAGCCACTTGTATGGGAACTGCTGAGTCATGGCCTGAGCCACTGATTGAGCACCTGGGGAAAGGACCCAGTCAGCCCTGGGAGCACAGGTGAAGGCAGTTCAGGTGTGTGACCAGAAGGGGAGGAGCCTGGCTGCACCTGTCTTAGACCTCATTTAAGGGCTGACTGCCACTGGGGAAGGATCTCGGGCTGGAGATCCCTCTCTTATGGAGTCTCTATTGTGAGCCTAGATCTTCAGAGATGGTGAGAACTTTTTCTTTTGTAACATCCTCCTACTGTGCTGGTCCCTTTGCTGTTACACCACTAAAACAAATTGGTACTGTTTTGCTTAGTCAAAGTCAAGTGATCGGAGTGATATTTCTACCAAATTCATTTTTAGGGTGAAAATAAATCTAAGTTTAGGAATTCAAAAGATAAGTGTCTCTACCATTACAGTTGCTCATTTTGTTATGCATATATAGATTTGTTTGAAATCTCCCTAGGAAGCTAAGCTGTAATTAAGACTCTGGCGTTAAATATCACACGTGTGTATCTAAATATGTCTATATTACTGTGTATATCTTCAAGTTGCTCCTGTTGACTCTGATTCTAAAGTGATGTTAAAAAAACTCTTTCTCTCTGGACAAAAGAAGGGTTTACTTTGTTGTTTTGGTTCAGACTTACTGTTCCTGTGATGTAACACAGGCTTCTGTGCATCAGCCAGTTTTTGTCAGTCTCTGTTGCAGAAATAGCTGTGCCTTAGTGCTGTTTTTTTTTCTTCAGAATAGTATGCTGTCTATCAGATGGCAGTGTGTTAGATATCTGTAAAGTCCTTTTCACCACTTCTGATGTTTTAGCTAAATATCTTAAATATAGTTTATCTGCATTTTGATCAGTTACCTAATATCTTAAAATGTCCCTTGCTGGTTTTTGTGTCTGTCATTGTTCTTTGTGGGTCCAATTCAAGAATTATTAAATGATGTAGCAGTGTTCACCTCTTCTGCAGGAGATGGAGGTATGTGTAAATTATATGTGTATGCACATGTGAATGTATCTCAATCTACAAAATCAAGAATTCTATACCACCCTTTTTTTCTATGCATAGAGAGAATACTACTTTGAAGACCTAGGAACTGGGTTTCAGGGCAGAAGTGCCTGCTCTGCCTTGTTTCCTCCGGTGATGTAGGTCTTCTGTTTGTTACTTCAAAACAATAACTGGCCTCTTTGTTAATAATTTGTGGGCGTTTTTTTTGAAAATGTGGTTTTGGTGAAAGATCACATTTGCAGATGGTAAAATTGTTTGTCAAGCAAGTAAAAATGGTAACAAAACTTTATGCTGCCAGAACACAGAACTGGCACTGCACCTTTTATTCCTTGTGGAGATATTGTAGAGTATTGTATCCTGACAGTCTGGTCTTTGAAGAAACTTATCTTGAATACTGCTGTCCTGCATATCTGTAGGGGACAAGTTAGGAATCAGTGTTGGAAGGTTATGTTCATGGTATAAATAATACCATTTTTAGAGTAGTAGCAGCAAACAGCTTTTTCATTTTTTCTTTCAGGCTCATTTGTTCAGTTCATTGGTATCTAATATGCAAAGTGCTTGCAATTACAAGATTGATTTTTAGCTTTGTATTTAAAAAATGTCATTGAAAAGAACTGGTCAGAATCTGCAAGGAAGTATTGTCTTTTTTTGGAGGGGGAGGGGAGTGTCAAAATCTTGTGTGATGCTCCATTTTCTCCCTTGTCTGCTTTGGACATGAGATTGTAACACTGCACAAAGAGATGGGAACTGTTTTGCTTTACGCATCGATAGTGGATGTCAGGTCTCTGACAGCTGATTTCCCACTGAAGGAAAAATTGGTGACACAAACCACAGGAACAGTCTTTTTAGTGGAATTTTTAAAAATATTAAATACACAGGCTTTGGACAGATGTAGAGACCCCGATAATGCAGAAAAAGAAACCTTCTGCAAAAATGTTGATGTGGAAACCTGCTTCACATTCAGAAAGCAATGCTTAATCTTTGAAGTTGATAGCAACTTAACTAAAAATGTGGTGTCACAAAGGTGCTAACACTTCATTTCTCAGAGTCTATATCCTGCTTGCATCCAAAGGAAGGTAATTTGTAAGACTTGTGTACAGGAAGCATTATAATCATATGAGTGTGGTTCTTAGAAATGCGCAGTAAATGAACAGTGCTGTCTTGGAACATGAGCTAGCTCAATTATCTTCAATACATTCCACACTGTAGATGTACCGTCTTGTAAAAGTACTGTTTGAATGATGCAAGATCTACTTGCTCTGTCTCTCACTCCACCTCACTTATCTTATTTTTGAAGACACGTAGTGGAATTTCTTGCTTCAAGTTGCCTTTTTTTAAAGAAAAGCTAATAATGGGTAATGAGAGTTTTATTAGGTAAGAATGCCTGCATGCAGTCCTCAAGGGGAACAGGGCAGGAGGAGGAAGCTCAGTGCAGTGTATGCAGATTAGTGTGGGAGGTTTCCTGTTTCTCATGTGTAAAGTATCAAGAGTAAGTTTCTTTTGAGGTCATTCAGGAGTACATCCTGAAGGATGAAAGGTGGGAGGAGGGAAGATTACCACAGGTAAGCAATTTCTGTATCTGTACGTCAGAACATTTTGTAGAGGGTATCTGTGGGTTCTTTGATTTGTTTGGTGGCAAGGAGAAGGGTTTGGAGAGAAGTAAAAGATTGATCTGCAAATCCTAGTCTCATAATGGTAGTATAAAACTTCTACTCATGTCTTGTTTACTATTTATATACTTTTAAATATTCTGGGTACTTCTACTTTTATTCTTAGATTGCTGTGCCTTTGGTCATCCTAACTGCACATATACGTTGGTGTCTGACTTCCATGTTGCCTTCAGTTTGCTTCATGTCTCATACATCTCCATAAGCACTCTGCTTTGTGGAGAGTATACCTTTCCTGATCTGTAGACTGTGTTTCTTCTGAACACTGCATAGGAGCTAGGAACAATGAGCTGTAGTCAGTCCTAATTAGTGCTGTGGGCATCAGCCTGTAGACCTTGATGAATATGCCTACTGCAGAAGACTGCCCCTGGGAATGGCAGCGTGGGATCTGTCCCATATCTATAAACTAAAAAAACACAACTCTCTGTGCCTCTATCACCTCTACTGTGCCTGTGGAAAAACCTGTAATAAAAAGGCATTGTAGACCAAGACATATAACAACAAATTATTTCTAGGGAGGAATATTTGATAAATCAGTGAATTAAACTACATATTGGGATAGTCTCTTATTCTTAGCAGTATTTTGTAAGAAGGTCTTCAAAAATCTAAAGGCAACTGAAACTACACGTCTGCTTTATGGAACTGAAGCAGTAATTGTTTCACATACAAGATGTAATTTATCACTTTAAACTCCAAAGAAGCCACAAAAAAGACCAACCCAAAACAAGCCAACAAAACAATCAAGGAACTTTAGCTCTCAGCTTAATTGGATAGAAACTGAAAGAGGAGGTAGGATATAGAAGATGTTTTATAGGCTTGG